GTTTAACCAACTTAGCCACCCAGGCGCCCTAATTTATTTTAGAGAGCGAGCACAAACGCGTGCAGGCATGGGGGAGGGGCAGAGGGAAATGGAGAGAATCTCAAGCAGACTCCCCTCTTGGGGCTCCATTCCACGACCCTGAGATCGTGACCTGAGCTGAAATCAAGAATCAGATGCTTAACTGACTGAGCCACCCAGGCACCCTTCTTTTTTTTTAATAGAAAAACCTATGCAGGGGCGCCTGGGTGGCTCAGTTGTTAAGCGTCTGCCTTCAGCTCAGGTCATGATCCCAGGGTCCTGGGATCGAGCCCCACATGGGGCTTCCCTTTCTTTCTGCCCCTGCTTGTGTTCCCTCTCTCGCTGTGTCTCTGTCAAATAAATAAAAATCTTTAAAAAGAAAAAGAAAAACCTATGCAACCTTCCATTTAGTGATAAACTTTGTAGGTGTGGGTGTGGTAAAATATGCATAATATAACATTCATTTTAACCATTTTTAGGTATACAATTCAGTGGTGTTAAGTACATTCATGGTGTTGTATATAACCATTACCACTATCTATTTCTAGAATTTTTTCATCCCATACAGAAATTCTATACCCATTAAGCAATAACTCCCCATTTCCCTCTTGTCCCTGCTCCTCCTAGCCTCTATTCTACTTTCTGTCTCTATGAATTTGCCTATTCTAGATACCTCATGTAAGTGGAATCATAAACGAATTGTCCTTTTGTGTCTGGCTTATTTCATTTAGGGTGGTGTTTTAAATAATTTTTATCCATGTTGTGTCATGTATCAAAACTTTGTTTATTTTTATGTCTTAATATACTATCCCATTATACGTATATTTCACATTTTGTTTATTCATTCATTGGTAGACACTAGGGTTGTTTCCATCTTTTGGCTGTTGTAAATAATGCTGCAGTGAACACTGGTGTACACATATCTATTTGAGCCCCAGTTTTCACTTCTTAAGGATGGCATTGCTGGATCATATGATAATTCTATGCTTAACTTCTTGAGAAAATGCCAGACTTTTCCACAGTGGCTGCACGATTTTATAGTTCTACTAGATCTGCACTGGATTTCAAATTTTTCTGCATTCTTGTCAATACTTGTTCTTTTCTTCCTTTTTTTTTTCTGCCTTAAATAGTCATCCTAGTGGATGTGAAGTGGTATCTCATTGTGGTTTTGGTTTGCATTTCCCTAATGACTAATAATTTTAAGCAGATTTTCCTGGGTTTATCTGCCATCTGTGTGTCTTCTTTGTTGAAGTGTTTTGCCTATTTAAAAATGGGTTGAATTATAAGATTTCTTATACTCTGGATACAAGTCCTTTGTCAGATACAGTGGAAGGTATTGTTTAATGTTTGTATGGGAAAAAAAAGAACTATTCCAATTTCTATCAAATTTCTTCCAAATTAAAAAAGATCCCCTCATTAATTCAGTATCAACAAATAATTTTGTTACTTCTAGTTCAGTTGCCTGATAAAACAGAATTTTAGGATTATGTTTCCCTTGTGAGAGGTATAACTTACACTAGAGCATGTAAAGAGAAAAGTTCTGCTTTCTGATTATGTCAGCTCCAGGAGAAGTGTAAAATTATGATTTTGGTTTGTCAGCAAATAAGAATGCTATATTTAAAATTGCTGTGCCTGCCTTTCTAAAATGCCAGATATAAGTGCATAAAGCATAGTTAACTCCTAATGAAATTCATAGAATTTTCATGACTTTTAAAATTCCAAATCAGTATATTTCTTACATATATCTTCCAAATATGAAAGGTGCCCTAAAATTTTTCTTTACAAACATATCAAGCATTTTTTTTAATAAAAATGGGAACATAGGGTCTATCAAAAGATTTTCTCAAATTTATTAATTTAAATGAAAAACAATTTTAAGTATACCTAAATTATAAATTTTAGTAGTTTTAACCTCTTGGAAAAAACTAAATAGCAGAAAACTGCATTAAAAAATTAGACTGTTGGGCACCTGAATGGCTCAGATGGTTAAGCATCTTGCCTTTGGCTCAGGTCATGATCCAGGGTCCTGGGATTGAGTCCTGCATTGCGCTCCCTGCTCAGCAGGGAGCCTGTTTCTCCCTCTGCCTCTCTCTCTCTCTCTCTGTCTCTCATGAATAAATAAAAATCTTAAAAAAAAAATCTGAGAGATTCATTTCAGCTAAGGGTTCTTAAAAGGTGAAAAGTAGGGCGCCTGGGTGGCTCAGTTGGTTAAGCGACTGCCTTCGGCTCAGGTCATGATCCTGGAGTCCCGGGATCGAGTCCCACATCAGGCTCCCTGCTCAGCAGGGAGTCTGCTTCTCCCTCTGACCCTCCTCCCTCTCATGTTCTCTGTCCCTCATTCTCTCTCTCGCAAATAAATAAAATCTTAAAAAAAAAAAAAAGGTGAAAAGTAATTTAGTAAATATTTAAGAAGTGAGAGTAATAAAATGGTTAAAACATTTGTAAATTTTGGGGGACCTGGCTGGCTGGTTCAGTAGAGCATGTGACTCTAGATCTCAGGGCTCATGAGTTCAAGCCCCACATTGGGTGTAGAGCTTACTTTAAAAAAAAATTTGTAAATTTTTCCCCAAGAAAGAAAAATGTGAATGTAAAAGCCATCTTAAGTGTCACTTTGTAACCTCTCCCACATACATAGATAATGTAAATTGTCTAAAAATAAGAAACACATTTTCAAAAACTATTCTTGGAAAATTATTGTTATGCAACAATAATGTTGGTTTTATTTTTTCCAGATATGGCCGTGTGGAAAGTGTCAAAATTCTCCCCAAGAGGGGATCTGAAGGAGGAGTGGCTGCCTTTGTGGATTTTGTGGACATCAAAAGTGCACAGAAAGCTCACAACTCAGTCAACAAAATGGGAGATAGAGACCTACGCACGGATTATAATGAACCAGGCACCATTCCGAGTGCTGCTCGGGGATTGGATGATACAGTTTCCATAGCATCTCGTAGTAGAGAGGTTTCTGGGTTCAGAGGAGGTGGTGGAGGGCCTGCTTATGGCCCCCCACCATCACTTCATGCACGAGAAGGACGTTATGAGCGGAGACTTGATGGGTAAGTTCCAAGGTTTCTGTAGGCAGGTATTTTGTATTTGATATGGTGAGAAACAGAAACTCATATTTAGGGGCCCCAGATGGATTTAAAGTTTTGGGCATTCTCAATGTTTCCTATTTTGGGTTGGAAACGGAAGTGATTTCTATCCCAGTGGCTGGTATCTTGTGGAATCGTAGAGGATTATTTCCTGCAGCTGGTTGGATATCTACTCCTGAGATATAAAATGGTGGAAGATTTTGTATGGCAGTATCATTTTTGGAGTTACCTGTCTTCTAGAATTAATTATTCCTTCTCTTGGATAATCTGAAGGCCTTCCTTGGATATATCTCTGCTATCTGATGGAGCTATTTGGCTACAGATTTTGTGGTTGTACTATATGGAATATTTCTGGAATATTAGAGCCTACAGATTCTTTTAGAAGTTGATATCTGCTTCTCAATTTTCACTACACAAAGTGTACAAACAAATTGGATTGTCCCCAAAAACCTAGCAGACCATAATGATTCAACCGCTTGGATCCTACAAACAATACTTTAATCTGGAAATCTGTACTTGGATGAAGAAGAGTGAAGGCAATGTTTGATTTTTTCCATTTTGGATCTACACAGTTTCCATGTTGGAATTATACTCCTTGATGGAATGGGAGAAATTTGAGATGATGAATGTTTCTAAATCCTGGAATATAGCCATTCTTTTCTAATTGCTGGAATGTATGGGATGTCATGCAGTCAAGATTCCATTAGCCCAGGGGAAGAGGATTACTATTTTGTTTCTTAAGCAAGTTGCTGTCCAGTTAAAGGTACTTTAGCCTTGAACACATGGTGACGATCAGTTGTGGATACAGCAATCAAAATTGACTGTGCTGGATGGCTACAAAGGTGAACTAATGGGGAGCAACTGTTCTTCCTCATTTGGTGGAATCGTAGAGGATATTTCCTCTTCTGTCAGCTGCCTGATTCCTACTTAGGGCTGGAAATTTTTATGAATGTGGATGAATTTATAATTGTCTGCTATCTCAAGAAAGAAGTCTGGGGGTTTGAGAGTTACAGTTTGTCTGGGACTACTTGCTTCCAGTGGAATTATTTTATCTGGTCACTAAGATTTTTTTTTTCCTTATGGTTCATCTAAATATCATTTGACACCCTTGCCCATTAAGAAGGTGGATTACCCCCATAAGAGGGGCCAAAATTGGGGAAGTTATGTTCACAATTCTCTCCCTAGATTTAATTGGGATTATAGGTCGTGTTTCCACACTTGGAAAAGGTTGGTATGTCCTGACCTGTGTATATTAGCCCCTCTCCTAACCCAAGTCAAACTCTCTCTTTTTTCCCCCCACTAACTCTAGAAGTATTTAGTACTAATAGATGAATCAAAGAATAGCTATTAGATTTCAGCCCTGCTAGTTCTTGTGCCTGCCTTCTGTATCTTCCTAAAATATCAGCTGTAGCAGTAATTCTCCTAGAACTATTGCCTATTGCTTCTGTTGTATCGTTAATAACAGCTTTTACCAATTAACATTTGATAGGGTGCTAAATGAATTATTTGTGAAATTTTCTCTTAAGTCTCAAAGGAAACCCTGTTGTTTGTTAGACGTTGAAGTACCTATCCGATTGCCAGAAATGTAGCAAATTTAAAAAGGAGAAAGTTATTTAATACATTTAAATAGGAAAGGTATTACTGAATTTTTTGCCATGCCAGTTGCTTTACATCATAGCAGCAAAAAGCAGAAATAGCCTAGGAAGGTATGGTTGCTACTAAGTGAAGTGGTGGGTGAAAATGAAGATTAGTGCAGAGATTTGGAGCTATGTATGTATTGGGGACATAGTATTAGTTGTAAGATTTTTGCCAGATATTCTTCACTGGAAAGATTCTAATTTTTCTGTGTTTTTGATGATTTCTTAATCTTTTGATAGAAGATCTCATCCAAAGATAAGGTTGGGAAGAAACCCAATCTCAAGTTGAGATTCAGGTGATGAAATGGTCTTTTAGGAACTCAGGAAATGAGTTCTGGTTTTCTACAAAAGTAGAAGATGTTAAGATTTCTTTATAGGATTAGAATTGGTTTTCAGTATTAGCACATAATTGCATGTGTGTAATTGAACATGCAACAATTTTTTGTAACTGTAGGTTGGCAAATATTCATGTCCTACAGAAATATTTTTTTTAGGTTAAACCATGCTGATAGCAACCTTCGAATGAATATCTTAGTTTCCAAAGTTGGCTGATTTCATCAGAGGCAATTTGATTTTAGCTAAAACCTTTGAGAGTATATTTCCTGTAAACATTAAGTATAGACATTAACAAGTAGAATCATGGAATAGTTGTTTTAAAAATTATGTGGAATTTGATAGCACCAGGAGAGAAAATAATCTTTATTCTTTAATTGAATTTACCATAGAATAGCATGTGTCAATCCAGTATTTTGATAACTTAAGTTGTTGTCTTTTTCTTTTAAGATTCCATTTCTGTTATTAAATGTGATTGGGCACAGCAGTTTACATAATCTGGTAGTTTTTATAATTACTCAAGAAGTCGAAAGTTAATGAGAAAAAGTTATACTTAAAATTTTTTTCTGGACTTCTTTGAAAATGCCCTCTTACTGCTGGGACATACATTGCAATAGGGCTTTCATGTCTGTGTTAAAATGTATTATGGAAATTTTGCCTAAAATAAATTTGTCAAGTAAGTAAAAGTTTGGTATATATTTTAATCAAGTGGAAGTATAGAAAACTTTGATATTAAAATGACAGTCCCTTCTTGTTACATTAAACTGCAAATGAAAAGGAGATGGTATATGTATATTTCTGTACATAAGCCAGAAAATCCCTAATAAAAAGAGCATCTGACTTGCAGAACACTAGTCATGAAAGCCCAATATACACAATGGTTGCTCAGCTGTGAAAATTTTGGAGTTAAGTAAAATGTTAAGCTTAGTAGTGTTTGCTTACTAAGTAGGTTAATGCTGTTTAGCAAATGACAGTTGCAAAGACAGACAATGCTGAAATGAATGTTTGCATGACTTGCTTTTAGTTTTGCTTGCCCTTTTCTGATTGAGTAAATATTTTTCCCCCCCTCCTAAATGCAGGGCTTCAGATAACAGGGAGCGTGCTTATGAACATAGTGCCTATGGACACCATGAACGGGGGACGGGAGGATTTGATCGGACAAGACATTACGATCAGGATTACTATAGAGATCCTCGCGAGCGGACTTTACAACATGGGCTCTATTATACTTCTCGAAGTCGAAGTCCAAACCGTTTTGATGCTCATGACCCCCGATACGAACCTAGGGCTCGGGAGCAGTTTACACTGCCCAGTGTGGTACACAGGGATATCTACAGGGATGATATTACCCGGGAGGTACGAGGCAGAAGGCCAGAGCGGAATTACCAGCACAGCAGGAGTCGGTCACCACATTCATCACAGTCTAGAAATCAGTCTCCTCAGAGACTGGCTAGCCAAGCGTCTAGACCTACCAGGTCCCCTAGCGGCAGCGGCTCTAGGAGTAGATCCTCCAGTAGTGACTCAATCAGCAGCAGCAGTAGTACCAGCAGTGACAGGTAGGTTAACAGCTTTTTGTTCTAACAGACGAGCTGTTGAATAAAATGTCACAAATTCTCAACAATTAGTGGTAATGATTTGTAGCATAGTAATATTTTCAAAGTAAGTAATCTTGGATCATGTATATAACAAGTGAAGAGGCTTTGATTAGTGGGTGGCCATGGAATTCACCATTCTGTCAAGTACCTGCAATTAAGTGATTTGCAAATACTGTTTTGTGCTCCAGATGCTCAATATTAAAATGGCCAAAAGAGAAAAACGATAACTTTAGCTGAATGAAGTAAATCCTGTGCCATGGTATCTCTTTAAAGTTTTTAATTTCTTGGGTGTATAATGTTAACTTCTATTATTTTGGTTGAAAATTCATAAAAGCCTTTTGTTTCAGGATGTATTGGTGAAATATATTGTTGACACATCTGTCAGTGACTAAATCAACTTTTGGATACATTTTAACTAATTTTAACATCAAGGTGATAGCCAATTTATAAACTTAAGTAGAAAAGCTTTCTTTAAATGTAGGTTGTAACAGCTGTTCACTAAGGCTGAGTGAGCTAATTTCATTAGTTGGGAATTTTTTTTACAAAGGAGTTTTATTCTAAAGATAAAAATAATTTGAAGGTAATCTTAACAGCAAACATCTTAGAAGTTTATCACAGATCTAGGTAGATAGTATAGCATACTCATTTTATAATCTTGGACAAGTTACTTAAGCTGTCTATGCCTCAGCTTTCTCTTTTGTGAGAATCATGCTTTAAAGTTATTGTGAAGATTAAAATGAAAAAATGTCTTTAAGTGCTTAGCTTGATACCCATATATATTAAATGCTGCCTTCAGTAATTGCTAGCTGTTATTATTACTGCTTCAGTTATTGGTAGTCTTTAACCATTCCTCATTTCCAGTTATTGTTATTCATCCTATTTATGCCAGATATCCTAGTTTGATACTTGGATGGTGTGCATTTTAAATTTATAGGATACAAAATTTTTTGACCTGATTAAAATGCCCAGATTAATGATTTTTGTTTTAGTATTGCCTGCTTAGAATTAATTTAAGAAAAGTAAATGATCATGTAATTGGGGAAAATTATGTTCTGGCTCCAGTGTTGTAGCTCTGTGACATGGATGAAAACCCTTAACCTCTCATGAATTTATTTGATATCTTGACAAGGTTCATTTGAACTCTGTAAGCTGATTATAAAGTCTTGTCATGTCCTGTCTCCTACACAGAATTAAGATACTCAAGTTTTAGTCCTTTTCCCCTAAACCTACCTCATTAAAGGGATACAGTAGCATTCCATTGTGTCAAAACTTACTGAAAAGCCGACCAATTGTGGAAGTGTTGAAATTGGAGAAACATGATACAGGGCCTTCAGGTTGGCATTGTACTTCAGTGGGAGTGATAGTGGTTTGGGATCTGGCCCTTAGCATGTGGGCTCACAAACTTGAACCCAGAGGCCATCTGATTAATTTGATGGAGCTGATCACTGTTTATGTAAGCTAAAGGAACAGTTATATGCTTCTGAATATTTACAGTCAGAAAGATAACTGCCACAAAGGCAGAATAAGCTTAGAAAATGTACACGGGGACTGAATTACAGTTGTTGAAGATATTTCCTCTTCTGTCAGCTACCTGATTCATGCTTAGGGCTGGAAGTTTTTATGATTTAGGGCTATAAAGGCTATTATGTAGGACTTTAACAAGAAGAGCTGAGTTTTAGCCAGGCAGGGAACATTGTGGGTTGAAGGAACAACCTTAAAGGATACAAATGGAAGAATGTTTTGTGAACAGCACATAATTTAGAATGACTTAACATTGATAATGATTTTGGGTTTGGTTCTTTATGCAGAGATGAGTGGTTGAAAGATTTTGAGAAGGGAGATAGTTTGAGATCTGTGCTTTAGAAGGGCATCTGGTGACTTAGGAAAGACCAAGATTGTGGTGAGGAGGCTATTTCAGTAGCTTGGAGAATAAAGTCTTGGACTCTGAGAATGCCTAACTTGGGACAGGTGGGAGAGACATTATGTTAATAATCAGATTATATTGATTTGTGAGAAACAGGTGAACTTTCTGGAGATGGGACTGAGTGACAGGCCTTTCAGTGCTATCCTCTAAGAACAGGACCAGGTCTTCCTTTTTGCACACCATAGAGCCTAGCATATTATCTTTCTCACAGTACATGTTCAATAAATAGTTGAAACACTTAGATACATTTCTTAGTTAACACAACGGATAAAACAAAAGTAATGTAAATATTAGCTAAGATTTGGTTGTTACATATTATTGAAGCAAGTACAAGGAAAAAAAATCTTTTGGTGGGCAGAGCATACCCATTATCCCTCGGTTCAGCCTCCCTTTTATCAGATGTCCTCTTTTCCTTTACTATTACGTTGACCTCAGAGTGTAATATTTTGAGATGTTATATAGATTCAGAATGTTCAATTTCCTTTTGGAGGAAATAAGTTCTTTTTTGTAATCTTTAAAGCTTTATGACTGTGAAACTATGACCTTCCAAGTTTTTTAAAAATGTTTCAAATTAGCATCTTATAGTAGATAAAATATAGCTTGGTTCTAGCTATATAGTATTCTGTCTGCATGACTGACTGGGAAGTCAGTCACCCTCCATCCCCCTTAATTGTTGGAGCTTTGGTGAACAGATTCCTAGCAGTGCATTTCCAATGAGTAAACATGGGATTGATAGCAGTCTGGTTGTGAACTCTTTATAAATGACACACTTACAGTTTCTGCGTAACTGTTCTCAGTATTTAACTGGTGAGAACTGGGGCTTAATGGTATAAACTTTCCTGTGTGCAGCCCTGTGGTGCTGTATGTCTCTTTCTCTGTCATGGTTTAGGGAGTCACTTTTCCTTTCAACAGAAAATTTTAAATGCATATATTCCATAAAAGTATTTATTTTAGGGGCGCCTGGGTGGCTCAGTTGGTTAAGCGAGTGCCTTCGGCTCAGGTCATGATCCTGGAGTCCCGGGATCGAGTCCCGCATTGGGCTCCCTGCTCAGCAGGGAGTCTGCTTCTCCTTCTGACCCTCCCCCCTCTCATGCTCTCTCTCTCTCTATCTCATTCTCTCTCTCAAATAAATAAATAAAATCTTTTTAAAAAAAAAAAGGTATTTATTTTAAAAGCCCTGATTTTGAACATACTGTATTTCTGTAGTTTCCTATCATTGGGTTTCTTTTTCCTGTCACGTTAATGAATTTTCTGTAATACAGGTTAAAGGAATTTAATTTATTGACTTTAAATTAGTTCATAAACTTTCCCGATACCTTAAAGTAGTTTTTGACTGTGCTTTGTTTCCCAGTTGTTTACTTTGATCACACCCAAAGATGATTGGGCTGGCTTAGGGTCCCTGAACTTGGATGGGGAAAATTACATCTTTTCACTAGTAACCTGTAACTGAAATTAAGTATTGCCTCCCATTATTAAAGTAGGCAACAAAAAACAGTAGTATTGACAGTATGAGTTACTTTGTTACCAGTATAAATCCACAGGTAATTTATTATAGTTGCAGATACCTCACAGTGGGGTTTCTAGTCATTACTGGGAAGTAGTTATTAAACTCAGTGTTAAGTATTGTAATTTAATGTTAATGAAAACATTATATCACAAAAATTTAAATATTTTAATAACTGCATCAATATAATTGGTTTCCCTTTTATTCCTATTTATTTTACTTTATGCATTTAGAAACATTATTCTGGAAAGTGATGCATAGACTTCACCAGACTGCTGAAAAGATATCCTGGCCGTCCTTGATTTTATACTCAATAGAGGTTTACTGAATGAAAGGGGGGGGTGGGGGAAATGGATGAAAGGGGGTAAAGGGAGAGAGTTAAGATTTGGATAATCCTAAACCTGTTCTTATTCTATTCCCTCCTATTCAATAGGTTACTTCTCTAAATCTCTTTTTAGTCTAAAGTTGACTTTTGAGTTTACATTCAGCCATCTAGTTAACAAATATTGTTTTTGTGTGTACCAAATTTATGGAGTAAGATAGGTTGTATGGAGCCCCAAGAATAGAACCGTTTATTTATTTTTATTATTTTTTTAAGTTTATTATTATTTTTTTATAATCTCTACATCCAATGTGGGGCTTGAACTCTTGACCCCGAGATCAAGAGTTGGATGCTCTTCTGAGCCAGCCAGGCACCCCAAGAATAGAAGTAGTTTAAACATTTGCAATGGCTAAGCCAAAACAGAAAAACTACATACGTGTCTAATTAAGAGCTAACATGTATTTATATTAATTTGGTGTCTATGGCTAGTGCATCTTTCCAGCTTTCCAAAAGCAGCTTCATCTTCCTTAAAAGCTTTCTGGGCTATGGTCATCCTTTTCTTTTTCGTTCTTCTGAACCCTTTTGGCTTGTCTGTCTAAATATGTCTGGTAACTACAGATTGTTATTCTCACAAAAATAGGTCTTTAGGTGGAAGCAAAATGAACGTAGTAATAAGCAAGGGTAACTACATGAAAATAACTGTAGTAAGTGACATTTCATTGTCTCTTTGTGACTTTTGGTAAGCCATGTGGCATTAAATCATGCTTAGTTACCCGTTTGAATAAATCAGAATTTCTTTTCTTTTTGGGGGGCGGGGAGCAAGCAAGAGAGAGCACATGTGAGCCTGGGGAGGGGCAGAGGGAGAAGGAGATAGAATCTCAAGCAGACTCCCCACTAAGTTTGGAGCCCAGTGTGGGTCTTAGTCTCGCAACCCTGTGATCTTGACCTGATCTGAAATCAAGAGTTGGACACTTAACCAACTTGAGCCACCCAGGCGCCCTGAATCAGAGTTTAGAGCAAGCTTTCTACATATAGATTTTTAAAATGAGAATAAGTTGATTTAGAAAATAATTTGATGAAATTTCATGTGTTTTTTGGTATAGTTAATTATATTACTGGAATTTCTTTTATACTGTCATGATTGGAAGATTTTTTTTTAAAGTAGGCTCCATGCCCAATGTGGGATTTAAACTCATGACCCAGAGCTCAAG